AGACTAAAAAAGATAGATAACACAAACAAAATTCAAATAAATAGCACTCACACAGTGAATCAGCTAGAGTACAGGCTAGGATACTATAACAAAAGGGAATAAAATGTTAGTGTCCTAAGAAATCATTTGGGGATCATTCAGGGAACAGTTCCCTTCCATTCTGTGGCTGCCATCTGCTTAGCCATTGTCTTTAGGTAGTCAGCCACATTTCCGGCTAAAACCCGGAGTTTCTATTATTTTGTTGTTGTTCCTACTGCTGTTGCTGCTGTTGTTGTTTTGAGACAGAGTCTTGCTCTGTTGCCCAGGCTGGAGTTCAATGGCACCATCTCTGCTCACTGCAAACTTCACCTCACGGCTTCTTGCAATTCTCATGCCTCAGCCTCCCAAGTAGCTGGGACTACAGGAGTGAGCCACTATGCCCAGCCTGGGGTTCCTATTATTAAAACAAAGATAGGAAAATCAGATACTGTGTACAATAAAGAATCTGGGGCCGGGCACGATGGCTCATGCTTGTAATCCCAGTACTTTGGGAGGCCAAGACCGGTGGATCACTTGAGGTCAGGAGTTCAAGAGCAGCCTGGTCAATATGGTAAAACCCTATCTCTATTAAAACACAAAAATTAGCTGGTGTGGTGCTGGGCACCTGTAATCCCAACTGCTCAGGAGGCTGAGGCAGGAGAATTGCTTAAACCCAGGAGGTGGAGGTTACAGTGAGCTGGGATCACGTCACTACATTCTAGCTGAGCGACAGAATGAGACTTCATCTCAAAACACAAAAAAAAGAATTTGGGCCTCAAACACTAAAAAAGTGAATTAAAATGTCATCTATATACTTTATCTGTTCCAAAAAAATCGTTGAATTTGAGCTGAGAGATGAGTAATAAAAAAAATCCCTCAGGATTATTATAAATATATATAGTACTCAAAGATTTTCTGCTAATCTGTATGTATTCCTCACCTCAGTCTAACAGTAAGCTGCTTGGTGATTCACCTAAAATTCTGTAAACACTCATTTTGAAGTTGAAAGTAAATGCGTTAGGATAAATTTTTTATCTCTTAATCTGTTGTGGTTAAAAAAAAGATGAACATTTAGGAATTTGCAAGATTCTGTTATCTTTCTGTGCACTACTGTACATTATTCATTTGCTGAATTTTGTAGACTTGGTAACCTAGAAATTAGCTTCACCCAGTTTCATCAGGTCCTGGACAAAATGAATTAGATAACAAAACTTACACAAGGCTGATCTGGGGCCCAGGTGTTCCCAATCAATTCGATGAATTATATACATATTTCAAATGCTAGGAAGACTTATATGTGTACAATCATCAGTCAACATAAGAAAATATTTTAAAAGATACCCCATGAGTATGTGGAAAGTGGAATACTATGGACAGTGGCTAAGCCAGAGAGAATGTGTTGTGGGCTTTTCATTATACATCAGGGGAGAGTTCCCCTGGCAGTAGTGCTGGAAATAGAAGATTTGGTGCCTTTCTCTGCCAAATATATCTTTTCAGTACCCATGAAACCTCTTAGTTCCATAGCACCCTAGATTCAAGAAATAATTAGTCCTTCTAATTTCTTAGAAAGCCTCCAGAGGCCTGGAACCTCTTTTTAATATCTTGGGAGGATTGGTTAATTCATAGCAACATAATGCCATATTTTAACCTTCTAATAACAAAAGAAACCAGGGAAGTAGTTCTTTAAAAAAAATTCATACAGCTTAGAACAAAGACATACTTTTTTTTTTTATTCTCCCTCAAATGTATGTAGTCAGAATATAACATGGCAAGATTCCTAATGTATACCTTTTAAGAAACTCCCATTGATTCTGAATGTTAATTGGGGATGCATGTTTTAAAAGTTTTCTGGTCGAGGATCAATCTGAATCTTAGTCAAAAGCACAGAACTATTAGATATTATTTCCAGCGTCTTTTTGTGTTTCATAAAAACAAGGAGAAGGAAAGAGACTTGCAAGGGAGTGACTGTCTCTCTGTAGTTCAGAATGGATAAGTGGACAGGAGCTGTTAGAGAGAAACTTGGAAGCTATTAGGAATTTGAATTCTCACAGGGAAGAGTGCTATCTAAGAAAATGAAAGGTGAATACAAAACCAGCAACCTCAATCACTGGAATAACAATTTATACTTAGCTTGATATAGTTCAGGTCTGGTGGATGGGGGACAGCAGAGGATTTCGAAAATTCTGGCTGAGAAAATATTTTTGTTTTACAGATAGTTTTAAGCTTTTCAGAGCTCAGATCTAGAATGATTAATAAAGAACACCCACCACTTTGATTTAGAGAACTTTAGCAACAATATGGACAGATTCCCTTGACAGAGGCTAAATAAGTCAATTTCTTACTGAATTCAGGCCATTATTATCAGCTAAATACTGTCAAGATAAGATGTCTTATGTCCTGTGAGAATGAGCTTAGACCATTGCATGAGAGAAAACTGTATGTCAGCTAATGTTTGCACTCAACTTTTGGAGTCTCTACATTGCATACAACCAAGAGTCTCCACTCCTCTGATTCTACATGCTTTTTACATAGAACCAGAATTACCTTTACCTATTAGCACAGGAAGACAAAAGGTCACAATAACCCAAGCCTGGACTTTCAAGTCCGTTATCCTGGCTCCAGCATTTACAAACCATATGCCTCTGTGACCTCTCAGACCCTCTACCTTCACATCTATAAAGCAGGGGTGATGGTGGTGATTCTATAAATAAATAAATATTAACTCAGCACAGATCTTATGTCACTCTAGAGATATGACAGGCTACAAAACAGATATGTCTCCTACCGTTAGAATCTTATAATTGAGCCAATTATACTGATCAAATTGTATTTCTTCAGGAGTTTTCTCAAATGACACGATAGGCTGAAACTATTTAACAGAGTACCTGGCACATAATAATTGCTGGAAAGCATGCTACTTTAATGCTGTGTCTTACTCTGATTTTTGTTTGCTATTGAGGTGAGCATCATCATCATCGTTTTCTTCCCATTGCTAAAAAAAGTTAGCTACTTATACAATGTGGTTTCAGAAGTCTTAAGAAGGCCCAAATACAAATAAAATACTCACTTCTGTGACATTAGATCTTAACAAACTGCCCAGATCCAAGATTGCCTATGAGTTTGGACAATAACTTGTCCTGGAGAGTAAGTGAGCTGCATACAGGAAGGAAGGGTAAATTAAACAGAGTTTGGAGGAACCTGAAATTAACATGAAAGTTAAATGCTACTGGAGCTAGAAAATGTGTGTGAAAACACGAATAAAGTTCAATGTTATGATCTGAATTTGAAACTGCCAAAATTATTTCAAGCTTAGTCTCAACAGCTGTGACTAGGAGACAGGAGCTAAGGTTGCTTCTGAATATGGGAAATCTTACTGAAGTTCTTAGAAGTATTCAAAATAAAGACCTTGGCTTTGGGGTGGGGAAAAGATGAAAAGATACTAAGTTCTCTTAAGTTGATTCTGTTTTTGTTTCTTTGTTTGTTTTTTGTTTTATTTTTGAGATGGAGTCTCACTCTGTCACCCAGGCTGGAGTGCAGTACTGTGATTTCAGCTCATTCCAACTTCAGCCTCCTGGGTTCAAGTGATTCTCCTGCCTCAGCCTCCCGAGTAGCTGGAACTACAGGTGTGCACCACCATGCCCAGCTAATTTTTTGTATTTTTAGTAGAGACAGGGTTTCACCATGTTAGCCAGGTTGGCCTTGATCTCCTGACCTTGTGATCTGCCCATCTTGGCCTCCCAAAGTGCTGTGAGCCATCATGCCCGGGCTCTGTCTGTGTTTTTTAAACGTAAGTGGAAATGATTATAAACTATCACTACTTCCCAATGTGGTCATATTCTAAGACTTTCCTCAGTTCTCTGAAATGGAGTTCATAAACTTACAATATAAATACCAAGTTTTATATTTAAAAGGTTACATTTCATCTGAGTAAAATGGCAATAGGTGTGCCCCTTTTGTAACAATAAAGTGGTTTACATTGATTATTACCTCTTACTTGGAACCTTCTCTTATTTTTTATTTATTTTTATTACCTTTATTTTTGGGGTTTTTTTAATTTAAAAATTGTATTCTTAGAGACAAAGTCTCACTCTGTCTTCCAGGCAGGAATGCAGTGGTACAATCCTAACTTACTATATCTTTGAACTTCTGGGTTCAAGCCATCCTCCTGCCTCAGCCTCCCAAGTAGATAGGACTATTGGCATATGTCACCATGACTAGCTAACTTTTTAATTGTTTGTAGATACAGAGTCTTGTTATGTTGCCCAGGCTGGTCTTGAACTCCTGGGCTCAAGCAATCCTCCCACCTCAACTTCCCAAAGTTCTGGGATCACAGGTGTGAGCCACCACACCTGGCTAGGTGTATATGTTTTTCTTCACATTGACTTGCAGAAAAACACTACAGCGAAATTATCACTATCCTCATAGTCAAGGTTAAGCTTTTGAGAAATTTATTTTAAATATGATTAGTTGGACAACCAAAGCTTTTGTGTTCAGTTTACTACCTCAAGATTCCAGCTTCCCTATAAACACACAGAAGTGATTTGTAAAAGAGAAATTGAACACAGAAGTATTTTCTCTCAGGGAATTGCTAGGCTTCCCTTTAATTAAAGCTGATTATTTTTTAAAGAAAGAATCATACTTCTTATTTTATTTTTTTTCTGCATCAAAGAAGGGATTTAAAATATTTGGATTCCTCAGAGGAAGCATAAGCAGAGAAGTAAACACAGGGTAAGTTTTACATCTCAGCCCCTGAGAGGCCTTTAGCAATGGCTGTGAATGAGTGGGTTTCAAGGCTGAAACTGCCCACTTATATTATTTGTAAGCAAGCTACCTGGCTAATGTTTGAGAAAGCCATGATTTGTTATTATCTGTTGATTTATTTTAATGCAACGGAATTAAGATTCGTCCAGTATTCAGACATTTCAAAGAAGAACCAACTGTTTTCAACAGATTTTTACAACAATTATTCAGCTCTAACATACCTGAGAAATGTGCCTTCATACAGAACAGTGATTGATCACATGTTGATTCTGCATGGTGGGATTCCTGCCTTCCAGGGAGAATTGCCTCTGAAATTTAGGAGAGAGGAGATGAAGATAGAGCTTTGAAATGCACCTCAGAACCTTAGAGATTAGTGAAATGGGAGGAATATGCCACACTCTCAACATTCCCATTAAGTCAGCCCAGAGATTTTAGGTAAGAAATATGTCATATGATCCAGTGATCCTACTTCAGGGTATGTATCCAAAGGAAATAGCATCAATATCTCAATGAGATATGTGTACTTCCAGGTTCACTGCAGCATTATTCACAATAGCCAAGATATGAAAACCACCTAAGTCAGTTGACAGATGAATGGATAAAGAAAATAGGTGTCTGTGTGTCTAGATTTGTGTGTGTGTGTGTGTGTGTGTCTAAATATACACATTGGAATATTATTCAGCCTTTAAAAGGCCAGAGATCCTGCCATTTGCAATATGGATGGACCTGGAAGATACTTTACTAAGTGAAACAAGATAAATACTACATGATCTCTCGTACATGTGGCAGCTTTTAGAAAAAGTCAAACTCATAGGAACAGAGAGTAGAATGGTGGTTACCAGTAGTTGGGGGATACGGAAAAAAGGGAGATGGTCAAAGGACAATATCCTGAAGTTATAAGATGAATCAGTTCTGGAGACCTAATGTAAAGTATGGTTACTCTACATTAGAGTATAGTTAATTATACTGTATTGCTAATAGAGTAGATCTCAAGTGTTCTCAACATACACACACACATACACACACACACACACACACACACAGTAACTATGTGAGGTAATGGATATATAAATTAAATTGATTGTAGTAATCATTTCACAATGTACACATATATCAAAACATCACATTGTGTACCCTGAATATATACAAATTTTACTTGGCAATCATCCCTACATAAAGCTGGAAAAAATTACCAATACTCTCCAAGAATTGAGGTACAGACTCCCTAAGAGAAATGTGTTAATTCTGGCCAGGCACGGTGGCTCACGCCTGTAATCCCAGCACTTTGGGAAGCTGAGGTGGGCAGATCAGGAGGTCAGGAGATTGAGACCATTCTGGCTAACACTGTGAAACCCTGTCTCTACTAGAAATACAAAAAAGAAGAAATAGCCAAGCATGATGGCATGTGCCTGTAGTCCCAGTTACTCAGAAGGCTGAAGAAGGAGAATCGCTTGAGCCTGGGAGGCAGAGGTTGCAGTGAGCCAAGATCGCACCAATGCGCTCCAGCCTGGATGACAGAGCGAGACTCTGTCTCAAAAAGAGAAAAAACACTATGTCAATTAGTTTTTAACACTGAGATACTAAAGTATTATATAATTATCCATAAGCACATTATGATAAGGAGGAGTGCAAAAAACCATGAGGACCTTAGGTACCCACCCATGCCCTGAGTACTAGAAAGAGACTGGACTGAGGAACATATGCCTGCTTCCAAACAGGGCTGGTGTAGTACAGTGGGATCAAGACAGAAGCTGCCAATACTGTGATGGAAGGCACGGGCTCTGGGGTGAGATCCACAGTATCTCCTACTGACTCTTTTCATGACTTGATAAACTGCCTAATTCCTGTAAACCTCAATTTCCTTATCTCTACAATGTACACATTAAACCTACTTCACACAGCCCGATTGAAAGAAATGATCTCTCCTAAAGCAGTGAGCACACAGGCACGTTATAAGCTGTTAAATAAAGCTAATTGTGATCATTTTTGTTATTGTTATTTTTAGGGAAAAAAACCGAGCACTCACCAGAGATGTATTAAGTAGCTATAGAAAAAGGCAATGCTCCTTTTCAATATCCCTGAGGCCCCTCCAATGGTCTCTTCAGGGTCATCAGAAGATTCACCTTCACTAAGGCAATGACTCTGCTCCAGGCTCAGGGATAGAGGCATGGCCAAGCAGGCTCATAAATGTTCTGGTCCTGTTGCTCCTATGAGAAGCCCATCCAAGTCTTTCATCTCGAAAAGAAATCTATCAGATATCACCAAACAAAGTTTTAGACTCTTTCTTTCAATTTTCAAAATGTGTTTAGTGCTTATTTAATGGCATAGCTGAACAACACTTCAAATTGGCCCAGTATTGAGAACTATGAATGTACCATGCAATTTTCTTACAGATTTAAATGTTTCTTTTTTCTTCTCCTACTTGAAAAGAAAATGAGTGCCAAAAAAAATTACTGAAATGGGCAAAACTTAAGCATCTAACATTCAAAAATTTACAGTAGTGCAGCAGTAATCTTACAATATATACTCTAGTCATATTAAATATAATTTCCCAAATAAAGATAATTTTGTATCAATCTAGACAATGAGAATTTTATATTTTCTACTTACAGTATATTAAAAATGTTAGCTGTGAAGGTAAATTTAAAACTAGACATTTTCATGCTGTTTGACCTCATGTATCCAAGATGAAAAATCAAAACAATTGACTGTAAGCATTCTTTTGTTCTAACGTTTATTTTTCACATTGTTCCTGTCTATGAATTTAATGGTATTTTTTCTGCTAAATAATGCCATTAACTTGCAAAAACAGTATCAAAAAAAATTATTGAAAGTTCTCTTCCAAATACTGTTATAAGGAAACTTCCTTAAACCTTTGAGTCTATAAAGCAGTTAAGAAAATGGGACGTAAAAAAGAAATTCAAAGTGAACAGAACAGAATTGAAGATTTTGAAAGAACTTCAGCTTAGTTAAGTATAAAATGCAAACCAAGTCTGTGTATGTTAAAATGGCAAAATCAAAAAAGCGTTTCTCCCTGAAATTGCAGAATTGTCTATTGCTGTCTGTTAAAATCAAACTTTTTTTGTATTGTACAAATGGAATTAGTATCAAGTGTGCAGTGATATGTTCTGGATAGCAAAATATCATCAGGTTTTAAATGATTAATTGATTTATAAAGTAAAGTTAAAGAGAACTATTTTTACTTAGAGATTTGGCAAATTTTATGAAACTAAAATAATATCAAATCTTTGAGTGGTTAGAAAATTGATACAATTGACTGGGCACAGTGGCTCATACCTGTAATCCCAACACTGTGGGAGGCTGAGGCACGCAGATCACCTGAGCTCACAAGTTCAAGACCAGCCTGGGCAATATGGTAAAACCCCATCTCTAATGTAAAAAGAAAAAGAAAAAAATTAAAACAATAAAATATTGAATAATGATGATAATTCCTGAACTACCTTGACACAATGAAGATTCAACTATGTACAGTAAGATACAAGATATTTTAAAAACTGCTTATAAAAGAGAGGTGAGATTCTGCACTGCTTAATGATAAAGTTCCAGATCTGTTGTCTTTATGTCACCTAACACCTAAGACACTAACATATGAATGGAATTTGTTGTAACAATTCACATTTCTGATTGACAAAAACCACTAATTGAAAGTTTGCTCAAGCACAGTCCTAATGAGGCATGGGATAAATTAAATATTGTAAGCTGAAGTCACGCCATATCACAACTTCTGTATGATGTCTGGAGAAGAGAGGTGATTAGATGTTCACAGACTTTTTATTCATTTATTTATTTATTTGTTTTGAGATGGAGTCTCGCTCTGTTGCCCAGGCTGGAGTACAGTTGCGATCTCAGCACACTTCAACCTCTGCCTCCCAAGTTTAAGCAATTCTCCTGCCCCAGCCTCCTGAGTAGCTGGGATTACAGGTGTCCGCCACCAGGTCTGGCTAATTATTTGTATTTTTAGTAGAGACAGGGTTTCATCATGTTGGCCAGACTGGTTTTGAACTTCTGACCTCAGGTGATCCACCCACCTCAGCCTCCCAAAGTGCTAGGATTAGAGATGTGATCCATTGTGCCCAGCCTATTCAATTCGCCTACTAAAAAACAAATTACCTAATTCATCCATTGTACCAAAAATATCCTCAGTTCTGGATATTTAATACTGTGTAGCAGGTTAGATTTGGCCTGAAGGATCTTTTAAGATCAAAACTTCGCCTAGGCTCTAACCACTAGGCAGATAAATAGCCTAAAAGAACAGAGGTGTTAATATTTCTAACATCTTAACTGTAATATCATTTATTTACTTAAAATCCTTCAAGATTTTCCCCCTTGCTTTTAGGATAAACTTCTTACCATTACTCACAAAGTCTTCGTTGACTAGCTCTCTACATACATCTCTGACCTCTGCTACACATCAGTCCTCTGACGCTCTTTGAAAAAGCTTGATATGTGGTTGCTCTTTCTATTTTTTGTTTGTTTGTTTTTTAGACAGAGTCTCACTCTTGTCACCCAGGCTGGAGTGAAGTGGTGCAATCTAGGCTCACTGCAACCTCTGCCTCCCAGGTTCAAATGATTCTCCTGCCTCAGCCTCCCGAGCAGCTGGGACTACAGGCACCCTCCATCAGGCCTAGCATATTTTTTTATTTATTTAGTAGAGACAGGATTTTTACCGTGCTAGCCAGGATGGTCTCGATCTCCGGATCTCATGACCTGCTCACCTTGGCCTCCCAAAGTGCTGGGATTACAGGGGTGAGCCACCATACCCGGCCCAGTTGCTCTTCTTCAGAAGCCTCTCTCTATGCTGATCCCATTGTCTAGAATGCTTTTTCCTGTATTGTCCACCAGATTAAATTAAATTGAATCAATATTTCAATTCTTATTTACAGCATCTCTTCCCTCTGCAAGAATGCCTGTGTGCACATGTATACACACACACACACACACACACACACACACACACAAGGCTGACTCAGTTGCCCTTTTTAGTGCTGAGTCCTTGTACTCCTGTAATCTTTGGAGTGTTTCTGTAGTACTTATGGCTTAGATTTGTAAACACCTGAATGTTTTACCTTCACTGAGTTGCAAGAGAAAATCTGTCTTATTGAATGTTGTATATAAAACGCTTGTCATTTCATTTGGTCATTAACAGATTCTCAGTAAAGCATCCTTTTATTATAATACATGACAAAAAAAAAAAAAAAAGAAATCACTATGAAGATAAAGAAGTCCCAGAGCTTCAAATTAGACCTTTATGTTTCAGACTATGTATAGTCCAGTTAGACCTTTTGCTATCTTTGTGCATTTTTCATTTTTGAGTTAAATATTTCTAAAAGCCATATTTTTATGTTTCCACATAATTTTACTGAGATTTAGGAGTATATAAGATATTGGCACAAAAAAATATAAATTAAGAAAAGTAGAGAGATTTGATGCTCAGCTAATCCTAAATGCAGCTCTCTTCCTTCCACATTGATCGGGCTCTAAGTGTATAATGTATAGGCTCTAAGTGACCTATACAGTCTGTTGCTCATTCTGAAGACACAAACAGTTTCTAACAACGTGATTAAGTTGCTTCCTTGCATCCTAGATAAAAAATGACAAGTCAGAAAGCCTACAGACATTCGGTGGTAAAAGAAAGGCGTTGTTAAGCCATACAGATTGACTTACTTTAGGTGAACTATTCTTAATATTTCCTTTGTGTTACCTACATTCACAAGAACACTATTAATTGAATGGAGTTGATAGTTTCTAAAACATTCTTCAGCAATAATAAATGTGGCCCAGAGCTAAATTAAGACACCCTTTTACTACTTTGGGCATCGCAGTTTTTCCGAACAGCTGGTTTCTGTTAATAGGCATACCCTTCCTGCCAAAGCAAGCAGATTTGTAATCCCCATCATGTTTGCTGTGTTACTGCCCCAGAGCACATAATCACAGAGTACATTCCTGTTGCTTTACAAGAATTTTTTTTTCTTTCAAAGTTGTACTTTTGGGAGACACGCCATCTATTTTGTACTCCAGTTTCAAGTATTTCTTTAATTAGAGTATCTGATATTTACAGTGAGGGGAAGAAGATAAAGTGAAAGGTATGCAACTGCCTATTTAACATATGTGAACTCACAAATTCTCAGAATATGAAAAGTTTTCTGAGATGCCAAAAAAAATTATTTCAAATTACAGAAGCCCCTACTGCATAATTAGGAAACATTTTTAAAAATTGGATGATGGCCATAATCTATTCAGGATCTGATAAACTCAGAAATGCACTGAGTGAGAGTGAGGTGACTGCCTATTGCCACTTCATGATTTTACTGGATGTTCACTGAGTCTCCAGTAATTCATTAGAATTTGGTTTGTTGAGTTTTAGTTGGTTTTATTTTCCGCATTAAATAATAATTCTATTCATAATTTGGTTGTAGAAAAGCAATCACTGAGCTCAATACTTAATTCTTTAGTAAATATGGTTTATATCAGGTTCAAATTGTAGGTTGGTCCACAGACTCAGTCCGAGTTAATTTCTCTGGGATAGAGGAAGCTCATATTGAAATATATTAATTTAAAATGTGCAATTATTTGGAAAGAGGATGGGTAGAAGTTTACCTCTTCCGCATATGAAGGGAAAACTCATTTGAACAAAAGTTGAAGGTGAATATTTAATCTAAGAGGCAAGAAAAACGTTTTAAATCACATAGAAAAATAATACATGATATGGTTTTTTAGTATCTAGGAATTATTTATTTTCAAAATAACTTTAAAAGTCAGAAAGAGACCCAAGAACAATGTGAACAACAAGTGTTGGTAATATCAGGAAGAATAAATAGAGAAAATCATGTAAAACGGTAGGATTGAGCAGATGATCTCGGAAGACTGGTTTACTCCCTGCCTATCCCTTGATAAACTAGTTCCAGAGTGAAGGCATCCTAGAGGCAAGGAAGAGAAGAGAACTGGAAAGAGTAAGATTTAAGGGAATAGTTGTAGAAATAGTGTAGGAGCCAACTCAGAACCTTCACAAAGCAGTAAGTATCTCTAAAACTTATACCCTTATCTCCCTTCTAAACTATTCCTAGAAAGTAATTTGTCTGTTTGTGGACATGTTTATTTTAGAAGAAAATAAAAGTGTGTTCTTGACCTTACTAGTCCTATGGGATCTGTCTTCCTTCCACCCTGGCACACTAGACAAAATCTTAAGGGGCTCAGATTATTTTTTTCCTTTTAAAGTTTAACTTTTATGGTAGATACACAGGGTATTTATACAGGTTTGTTACCTGGGCATCTTGCATCCAGGTAGTGAGCATAATGCCCAAAAGGCAGTTTCCCTACCCACATCCCCCTCCTTCCCTACTGCATCTAATAGTCCTCAGTATCTATTCTTCCCATGTTTCTGTCCATGCGTGCTAATAGCATGTGGTACATTGTTTTCTATCCCTGTGTTAATTCACTTAGAATTCCAGCCCCCAGCTCCACCCATGTTGCTACAAAGAACATAATTTCATTATTTTTATGCTGTGTGGTGTTCCATGCTGTATATATGCCACATTTAACCAGTAATAAATCCACACACCTACAACTGTCTCATCTTTGACAAAGCCAACCAAAACAAGCAAGGAGAAAAGGATTCACTATTCAATAAATGGTACTGGGATAAGGGACTAGCCATGTGCAGAAGAATGAAACTATACCCTTACCTTTCACCATATACAAAAATTAGCAAGATAAAGATTGAATGTAAGCCAATGCTATACACTTGCCTTTCACCATATACAAAAATTAACGAGCTAGATTAAAGACTTGAATGTAAGACCTCAAAGTATAAAAATCTTAGAAGAAATCTTAGGAAATATTCTCAACATTGGCTCTGGCAAAGAATTCTTTTTTTGGCTAAGTCCCCAAAAGCAATTGCAACAAAAACAAAAACTTACAACAGAACCTAATTAAACCAGAGTGTTTCTTTACAGCAAAAGAAACTATAAAAATAGGAAACAGACAAGCTATGGAAGTAGAGAAAATCATAAACTATGCATCCAACGAAAGTCTAATATCAAATTATTTTATGTTAAAAAGAATCAAGCCTATTAAAGCATTGGTACATTCACTGTATTATTTGCCATGCAATAATTATTCAACTTATAAATATGACCATTATATTTAAGATAACCTAAACTTCCTCACATAGTTCATCTTAAGATTTTTAAGATTTTGAAGGATTTTATTTTGTACTTCAAAAACTTGCCTCATAATTTATCTCCATGGAATCTCTTCTATATCAATAAGTTGGGGAAATAGAATAGTAGAAGTAAGGGAAATAGAATAGTAGAAGCATTCATTTGATGAAGATTTTATGGTGCGTAGATACCAGAACTGCATAATAATAAAAAAGATAACTGTAAGTTTCAAGATAAACATGGCTTGGCCACATGACAACATGAATGATGTTTTCTCTATAATAAATTTTGGCATTCAGGTTAAATAGCTTCTCTTTAGCATTATTGAATAAAATGAAGTTCTATCATGGTCTTGTACATTTAGCTTGGTAGTTTTAGAAAACATTTGTTCTATCCATAACCAATGTAGTGTTTTGCAGTAAAACTGTTTTTATCCAGGATACAGATTTTAAAACAAACATCATAGGAAAAGTTTTTTTTAATAATGTAAAAATTTCTAATTCATTACAGTATAAGTTAAAGAAAACATCTTTGCCATACATAAAGCAAAAAATACAAGAGAGTACTAATATTTCAGAGAAGCATGTGATAATGAGCTAACAATTATTCAACATTTAAATTTAAATGTTAAAGATATTTGTATACAGCTAGAATGTTTTTTGGATCAGAGATAAATAAAATCTATGCTTGCTGAGAATACCAGTGAAATATTTGCTTCGGCATGTACAGAGTATATAAAATCTCCTGCAGATTCACTGAGAAAAAACTTAGTGTTGAGAATATTCAGCAGAAGCAGGCTCCAATAGAAGCGTACACAGCTTTGATTAGTTCTCTTCAGTTTTGAGAGTTATTTCTTAAATAAAACTCCAGGTCTGAATGGCTTTGCTGGTGAATTATACCAAGCATATAAGGAAGAAATAATTGCAATTCTATACAATCCTTTTCCAGAAAAATTGAAGTGAAACTCTTTCTTTAAGACCAGCATTGCTCTGATACTAAATCAAAGACGCTGTAAGGAAAGAAGGCTACATACTCATGTCCCTCACGAATGTAGATGCATCAGTTCTCAAAATCTTGGTAAGACATTGGCAAATTAAATTTAACAATATATCAAAATATACTACACAATGACCATGTGGTATTTACTTCAGGAATGCAAAGATTATCTAAGAGTCGAAAATCAGTATAGTGCATATTAACAGATTAAAAGAGAAAATTATATAATCATCTCAATAGATGTAGAAAAATCATTTGACCAGAAAATCTAACAACTATTCCTGATAAAAACTCAGCCAACTAATAATAGGCAGGAATTTTCTTCATCTAAATAAAGGGTATCTATTATCTAAAAAATCAGCTAACATCATACTAAATGGTAAAAGACTAGATGCTTTCCCCCTAAGATGAAGAACTGGGCAAGAATGTTCTTCCTTAGCACTTCCACTCAACATTAAAATGGCAGATCTGAGCAATGCATTAAGGCAAGTAAAAGAAATCAAAGTTATCCAGATTGGAAAGAAAGACGTAAAACTGTCTTTATTCACGTGCTTCTTAAAATATAAATAATAAGTTAACAGAATTAAGAATAAAGTGATTAAATAAATAATCATTGGGAAATTTTTAGTGAAATCAAATTTCAACAAGAATATAAAAGCTCTGAATATTTTTTTTTACAAATTTAACTAAATTACATATAGTAATGTGTTTATAAGAGTTGCCAAAAACACATTTTTTCAAATATTCATCGAATATTTATCATAATTAAGAAATGCTAGGATATTAACAAAGGATTTAAAACATATATATTATGTTTTCTGATCGTAGGGAAACCTGTTAGAAATAAAAAAATAAAAAGATCTGGAACTATATATATTTAGAAATTAAGAAGCATATTTCTAAATAACAAATGGGTGATAGAAAAATAGCAATAGAATTTAGAAAGTATTTTTATTGAATGTTTATAAAATACAGCATGTTAAACCTAGATAATGCAGAAAAAAGCTGCACTTATAAGGAAATATATTACTTTAAATATGTTAGAAAATTTAATAAACAATGTTTGGTAGCTAGACTCCAGAGATGTCCTCAAAAGCAAACAGCTTCTTGTTATTCACATTTTTGTGTGATCTCCTTTCTTGAATTTGGACTGGCCCTCTGACTCACTATTTATCAACATAATGCAGTAGATGTGAATTCTCACGATTTCTGAGCCAGGTCATAGAAAGTCTTATAGCTTCCCCTTTGCTGTCAATCAGATTAAAAAAAAAATGCTCCTCCATGCTCTCTTGGAAGAACAACACTTCCATCTAACTCCCTTAGAGTGCTCACTCTGGCACAAGCCAGCCTTCATGTAAAAAATTCAACTGTCTTAAGACCACCGTGCTGCGAGTAAGCCATCAACAATGAAGCGATGGTATGGAGATAAGATAAGCTCAGCCAGCCCCCAACTGTTCCAGCTATCCCTATACAAGGCATCAGACATGCGAGTAAAGAAGCTACCTCAGGTGGCCTTCCCCTCAAGGCTTCAGATGACTCCAGCCCCAAATAGTATTCATCTATAACAGCAGAAGAGACCCCAGCTAAGCCCTATCAACCCACAGAGCCATAAAAAATAAAGAAATAAATAGTTTTTTCACTGAGTTTTGGAATAATTCATTACACAGTAATAGATAACCAAATAACAAACATCTATCGCAAGAAACTTTAAAATGTTCAATAAATTACTTCCACTCATCAAAAAAAAGAAGGAAGGAAATAATGAAGAAAAGTAAAACAATCAATGGACTCATAAACAAATGTTACCTTAGATCTATCAAGGTCTTACATAAGCGAGGCATTTGGACCTAACACTTCCACAAAAAGTAGGGGGCCTCAAAAGTCCACACAAAACAACAAGGAAACTTGTTCAGCTTTACTTGCATTTTAGGAAAAAAGAAAAAAAATCCTAAAATATATGAAATATATAAATGGATAGCTTCAAAAAGTTTTAGAATTTTAATTTATTTTATAAGTACAGTATATTGCTAAGCTAAGGAGTCTACAGTCTGTGAAAGACACACCAAAGAATTCGAGGCAGACAGTTTAACAGTTAATATACAACCCTACAATCCACCTTCCTTGCTGTAAAGTGCTTCCTATCTACCAGGTGAGGAATGTCTTTCAGAACTAACCACAAATTCCAATCCATACTCAGGAAGATCAATACAGCAGGCTCCCAGGAGTTACCCCACTGTCACCACCTCCTCCCACCCCAACCTCCTCAACCTGTCATTGGGATCATCTGCACTGTCCCCCAATATTACATTTGACTAAGTGGTCAGTTTGGATTGTGCCCATTCCTCTGTGATTGTAGAGACAGGCCTAGGGCCCCAGTATTGTTTTCAATACAGCAAGGTTTGATTACACAATCATCATATTTGACTTCTCCACATTAAAAGTCAAGTTTGACCCATCCATCACATAGCCTTCCAAGGGGGAGTTTTCCTGAGAAGACTCATGAGTACTTCTTTCAGTTTCTTTGAAATTCTCTTCCTCACTGAGATGGGATGAGAGCAGATTACATGGGCCATGTCCTTTCAGCCACCCCTCTGGCTCCCGTCGAACTGAGACACAGAGCATTCCAGCATCGTATGCTGCCTTGGGTTGACCTTCCAGTCAGAGGGGAGTATCAGAGTTGCCCCATCTTTCTGGCCCATTTGGATAAAGTTATGTGATAATCTCAAAATAAATAGCATATTTTTAGAAATTATCTGTGAGAATTTTCCAATTATAAGTTCATCAGGAGTTCAGCTCTCTCTGTAATGGATCTTGCCCTCTCCTAAGCAACTCTCTTCAAAACTATCAATCATTATATTTAGCACTTTCTGCATCTACTTACAGCTACAATATAGTACAATGCTAAAAGCAGAATTGATAATATTAGTTATTCCCCAAAGCTAGCACTATGTCATAGACTTACGGGACTAAAGAAAACTTTGGAGGCCATTTAGTCCATTTTGCGGCTGATGAAACTAAAGCCAAGAAAGATGAAGCCAAGAAACCTGAGAAGCCATAGATATCTATTCCATTATTTCTTTAATTCATTCTGAAAGTAAAAGGGGAAGACAGATCTGTTATTTAGTTCTATCATTTCCTGTCTTTGCAAGATGCAGCTTTATCAAACATCTCTTTCTTCACTAATGTACAGTCAATGTATTCTTTGAACTGGCAACTTTTGCTCACTCCTTATGTCACTGCATCAATCAATCAGGAACAGGGAAGCTATAAGCAAGGAAAACCTAATTAACACTTGCTTTAAGAGACAGGTGAGCCTTGAACAACACAGGGATTAGGGACACTGATCTTGCCCCTCACCATGCAGTTGAAAATTCACGTATAACTTTCAACTCCCCAAAAACTTAATTACTAATAAACCGGTGTTGACCAAAGACTTATTAATAACATAAACTGTTGACTAATGTATATTTTGTATGTTATATGCATTATGTACTGTATTTTTAAAATAAAGTGAGCTAGAGAAAAGAAAATGTTATTAAGAAAATCATAAGAGAAAATATATTTACTAATTATTAGGTGGAAGCAGATCATCCTAAAAGTCTTCATTCTTGTGGTTTTCACACTGAGTAGACTGAGGAGGAGAGGTTGGTCTTGCTGTCTCAAGGTGGCAGAGGAGGAAGAAAATCTGTATATAAGTGGACCTGTGCAGCTCAAACCCATGTCATTCAAGGTCAACAGTTTACAGTTTCTTTTTCTCACATTACAGTCTGAAGTTAGGGGCCCTCTCACATTGGTTCAGCCACTTGAGGATGTTAAGACTTGCTTTTCTGCAATTATTCAGACTTTTCTTCATAGTCAAAAGAGATGGCCTTAGCTTCATGCGTCATATGTATTCAAGGCAGGAGAAAAGGGATAAAGGCACAGTAACAGTCATAGTTGCACCTTTTCCCAGAAAGCAAAATATTCCTGCAAGCTCCAGACACCTTCCATCCACTTAAATATTATTGGTTGGAAACAATATAGTTCTGCTCCATGCAGGGAAGAGTGGAGACTATAGTGGGGTTTGCTTGTTTGTTCATTTTTAAATAGCATTTCTGATGTCAAAAACACCAGGGTTTTATCAGTGAGGAAGAAAACAGAACATACAGTGGCTTGGCAACCAGTAATAGTCGCCGGCATTCTAGTGCCCTTAACATAAAATGTGCCCTGCTCAACCTGGCCTACAGGTGGAGATGCTGAACAAACTGCCTCAGCCCACCCCACCAATCACATTTGGTGCCGTCCTGACATTTAGTCCTTGAATTCAGCCAAGCACTCTCCTTTCAGTTCTGTGAACACGCCAAGCTTTTCTTCTTGGGGCTCTGAACATACTACTGCTTCCATCTAGGATGCTCTCCTCTCTACTTGTCCCATAACTGGCTCACTCCCATTTTCATCCTTCTGAGACATTCAGGCCTCAGCTGAAACACCACCTGCTTGGAGAAAGAAGCCTTCCCTGACCACACCACCTAAGGAAACTCCCCCTCCATTAGTCTCTGCCAGACATTACAGGTTACCTTTTCTTCATAGGAATTATCGCAATTTGAAAATAATCTCATATTTTTAGTGAATGTTTGTTTTTGCTTCTCTCCTATCTTAGATTGTTGGCGTTACTCATTTACTTTATTTTGCCCATTCAACAGATATTTATTGAGCAATAGATCTGTGCCAGGCACCATCCGATGTGCCAGGGATGACAATGAACAAGACAAAAAGACCCTGACCTCATAAGGTTCACATTCTAGTTGGGGAAACTAATAATAACGAAAATGATTAATGGGTATCTTGTTTTCTATTGTATCTCCAGCCTCTATCAAAGTGTCTGCTGTTCAACCAATATTTATCGGGAAAATTAATAAATGTATATTACTTGCTAGACACCATATGTGCACTGAGGTTATGGCCCTTACCCTTTAGGAGCTTACAATCAATTCATGAGCATATTTGTAAGTAGCTAGAATGCCTTTTGGCTTAGAGGTATAGCAAGAGCCTATCAAAATCACTTATGCCTGGAATGACAACTGAAAAATAGTTTCTTCAGAAATTGCTCATGAAGTCAAAGTTGAATACTTTACATAGGAACAATCTCAAAGTAACTGAAGCAACCTATAAATTATTGTTTAAAATACTTAGACAAGAGTTTTAATGAGAGGTTAGAATTAATATCCTCTGCATATCTAAGTTTCTATATCTTTTTCCATTGAACCAAAGAGATATTGAAAGACGAAAACACTGAGACAAAACCAAAGAGAACGTCAATGATATTTTTTAAAAAATCAAGAGACAACATCAGAGCATATTCCAACTCTAACAACTATTACTTTAGCCAATCCAGGGAAAGACACTATGGGTTGTATATCTTTCAGAAAATCATTTTTATCATTAGATCCACTAAGAAAACTAAAAATGGAATTATGCTTATTAGTGGCATTTGTGGCCCCCAGAATAATGAAAATATATGTATGACGTTCTAAGGTAGATGATGATAATAATAAGACATTACCCAAATAAAAGGGGATTGTCCAAAGGAAACAGCATTGGTTGTGAATTGGAGATCATAATGTGCGGCCTCATGTAAGGTTTCTCAACACTCCTCAGTATTCTGCAGGTGTCTAGTAGGAAACAAACAGACCAGGCCTCAGACTCATTTCAATGCCAACTCTCAGGTTCCTCATCTGTAAATTTAATGTAGCAATATTTAGATCACAAAATCTTTGTAATTAGCCATGAGAAAGTGTTTTCCATACTATAAATGCTACCAAAAATATGCTGAGATGTGTGTGTATATATACTTTATACATATCTCCCATATATATACATATGTGTGTATATGGATGTATATGTGTATGTACATAATATATATGTATATGGGGGTGTTGAAATGTATATATACATTTACAGGATAGGGATATATAAAACTCTAACACATTGAAATTTCTTGATATTCTGACCTAAATTCACTAAACATTTTTGACTAATTATGTCCTAACTTTTCATTAACTTTTTTCTGATTAACCAAAATAAGTTTACACCCCCAAAGTAGAATACAAATTGTGTTTGTTTTTTATATATTAGATGCTCTGTCCCACATTCACCTAAACAATTCAATATATTAACTAAATACATTAAAAAATTAGATAATAATACAAGTTTATTTAGATCAATGGAACTGAAACCTCTCTTTTGGCAAAGCAACATCTTATGCTTCTTTTCATTTACAGCAGTTGATGCTAAATAAATGCTATTAGTTCATTCAAATTGTCTTTCTTCAACTTGCGGAAAAATATTTTCATTTGGCCCATATATGTTGCCTATCAGGTGTATTTTTACACAATTTATATGCTTTCATTTTTATACATACCCTTATCCTTAATGGAACTAATTATTTTCCTATAAGAATATTTTATTCAACTTTATGTTGAGCACTTGCTGTGTGCTTAGGTGTATGTTGAGATAGCGAAACCAGTGCAGTTTCTTCATCACTTGGACCACTGCAAAGTTATCAGTGGCAACTTGTGAACTTTCTATAAATAAAAACAATGTTTTTATATAATCAAGTCTTTTAAAGATATTCCCAGTCTTGGTCACAGAAATTCTCACTTATGGAAGTTTGGTCTCTAGCCATATGATGTGGCCTTATACAAGAGGTGTTCATGATAAAGTTTGTTCAGAAGATAGGATTTCAGCATGAGTAATTTAGCCAGATATGTCTCCACAAGTCTGTTCTCTGTTAGAAAAAAAAAAAATGGTGGGTAGGGGAAGGAGAGAAAAGAAGGTGGCTAAAATGACCAGAAATCACATGTGCCAATTCCATTGAAAGATTTGCAATTTGTAGAAAATTTTAATAATCATCAAACCTATAATTCTTACCATATACATTACATTTTAAGTGGAAGTTCGATTTATTTTCTCTCGTATAAATGTATGAATGACAAGGCAATGCTTTTTGAGATAAAATATGCCTTACCCTGAAAATATATTCATATGTTTCATTCAGGTTAGAAACAAATGCACACATCTGCGCCACTTAAGTTGTCATCAAGAGAAAAGCAAAAAAATATATATATATATATTATTTCCTGCCTCCTAATATTGTTATAGGAGTTATTAAGAAATAATTTTAGGCAGATAGAGAGGAAAAGGGGTCTATGTATGGAAAGTTGTTTCATTTAAAGCAGCTCCAGAAACATTTCTTGTCTAGCAGGAAAGTCCCTGCTCTTAGAGCCAGGCCAGCAACCTTTGATATGCAAATGCAGGCCATCCACCCAAACATGGCGATTCCCATCCTCTTCTTCTTGCCCTTGCCGCTACATGTGTCTGGCAACAGGGCCACTCCTACATATCCCCACGTGTGTAGAGCATCATGGCACCCTGCATTTGCATATTAAAAGGCTAGGGTGGGAGGGCCAGATTTTTTGCCCACTACCTGAATGACATGCCTGGTCAAACCAATCCCCTATGCCCTTTGCAAATCAGACAGCACCTCATCCATCCTCTTCATGTAACTGGCTGGTATCAGCCAGATTTGGTTCTCCTCTCTCAGCCTTAGGGCCCCCCATTCCTCTGTCTCTGTATTGGGGAGTTTCTTCTATCTTTCTTCTCCCTTCTTTCTTGCCTATTAAATGCTCTGCTCCTTAAAACCACTCCAAATGTGTTTGTGTCATTTTATCTAATTCTTTGTGAGGCAAGAGCCCTGATGTTTCTCCACTCATCAGAGTCATATCAATATTGATGAAGGTAGACAGACAGACATATAAATATATGCATTTATATACTTCAGCAATGCCTGATAATTTTCTATGTAGTGTTTCATTCTGTGGTACCATAAGCTTTCCATCTTTAGGTACTACTTGTTTACTAAGTAACACGCTTTGCTGATTGTACATATGTTCAATGACATCCTGTCTCCTGGTGCCAATGCTAACCTGTTCATTTAAAGCAAACTAAAATTGGCAGGGATCCCAAATTACTGGGGGCATAGCAACCACATGAAGCTGAGGAGACTTATTGAGGATAAACATTTCAAGCTGTTGGTACAAAGTTTAGAAGTTCAGTTCTCCCAGACATTTGGTTTTACCATGCTCTTTGAACAGAGTGGGCAAGAAAGCAGTATCAGAACAACATTCTCTGACTTCTCATTTCTGCCTCTCCATATGTAGTCAAGCCTTAATCATCGTCCTCAATATTAAGAACACATGGACCCTCCTCTTCAATATGACTGTGAGGAAGAGCTTCTTCTTCTAATATGAAAAGGACTGTAGATATAAGCTTCACAAACTTATTGTCCTTGTATATGACAAGTCAGTCAGTCTAAAAGGTCTATGTGGATGTTTTCTTCCTTCCAGAAATATTTCA